ACATTCATCATGTAATTAATTGGGAATTTCACACAAACCAAGGTTCGCCTGTAAACATTCTAAGGAGATTTGTTTTGAAGAATCTGAAGCCTGCATATGCAAAGTCGAGCAGTAAGGCCATGAGAAAGATGCGTGACTAGTAATAGGTCTGATATTAGCTTTATATATAAGGAGGTTGTTTTCAAGATTCAAATGATATCTTATTTTGGATATGAGAGGGTATAAAGCAGAAGTTATTTCCTTAATTTTTTAACAAGCTAATTGATATGAGGCTTCCAGTAAAGTCTAGAGTCAACAAAAACGCCAAGGTAGTTTTACTTGATTGCACCAACGAAGAGATGTTTGCGATAGAGTTCGAACTTGAATTTTTCTCTATTTTCTTTTTCTTGAAATGATCTTTGCAAAGCATTTGGTGGGGTTTATCGTAATTTTACATTGTGCAAACCATTCGTCAAGTGTACTAAGAAGAGCCTGCACATACTTAATAGCTAATGCAGTTGATTTCGACTATAATATAAGACAGTGTCGTCAGCGTACAGGGCTAGAAAAACTTTGTGGGTAGCTTAAGGAATGTCGCATGTATATAGGGAGATTAATAAAGGTGAGAGTAGAGAACCCTAAGGAACTCCAGCTTAAAGGGTGTTTGGGGGCGGAAGAGTGTTCTCCTATTTGTATGACAAATGATCTAATGCGAAGAAATGAGTATAGCACGCACAAAAGGTATTTTGGCAATTTTTTTTTTTATATAATTAATTTATAAATAAGTACCTCATGCCAGAATTCGATCAAAAGCCTTTTCAATATCTAAGAATACCATAACTGATTTGATTTCTTTTAATTAAAGGCTTTTTTATTGTTCTCTACGATCCTTAAAATTTGCTGTGTTGTGGAGTGTCCTCCTCGAAAGCCAAATTGGTGTGGGGGACGAGATTTGTAGAATTTTTTAATCTGGGGTACTATGGATTCAGCAACTTTGCAACACACGAAAGTAAACTAACTGGTCGATAATCCTTAGCATAATTGCTAGTATGGTTACTTTTTGGTATGAATATAGCTTTTGATTGTTTCCATCTTGTAGGACAAAAATAGAATTAATTAGTTTTGAAAGGTTTACAGCAGGCACTGGGGGAAGAGCATTCGATTGATGTACCGTTAGGGCCCCTACTCTTATTAATTTTAATTTTATCAATTTCAGTTTGGACCTCCTTTTCATTCGCAAACCCCTGAGAATCTATAGGTGATGCGTCTTAGCGGAAGTAAGATAGTATTCGGTTATGCACGAAATATCCATTTGTATTATTAAAGACAGTGGGTAGCTTGCGCTGAAAGGACAAGTTTTCTGTGAATATTTTGGCGTTTTTCTTACTGAAATAAGCAAATTCTCCTATATTATTTTTTTAAAAGTTGTATATGAATCATTCTTTGAGTTTTAAAAGATTTTGTCATATTTATATAGAATCAAAGGACGAATTTAAGGATCGTAGCTTCATATCCCAAAGGTTATAAAAAGCATTTAATTCGCGTTTAACCCAATTACTTATTTTGTTTAAAGGCTAACTTATCACATGGGGCTTGTCTTTCCATAAATATCCTTTTTGATTTACTTTAATGAATAAGTTCTTAAAGGTGGAGGAATGGATATAGAATCATTTACAATTTTCTGAGTTGTTGATTGAGTCACCGAGTAATTTATTGTGTTTTCAAAAGAAGAGATAGCAGCATCAATTTTTTCAGAATTACAGGAAGGAATAAGATAGAGTGCTAAGTTAATAAGCACTGTGTTTTTGAAAGATTCCGATTGGCTACCTCTAAGCTCTCCTCTGTACGGGTCCGACTTCCAAGCAAAAGCGTCGAGTCTTGATCAGATAATAATTCATGAAGGTTACTAATGTGCACAGGAAAAGAAATTTTCTTTCATATAGCCATGTCTAACACAACTACGGTGTCCCTAGTTGAGCGATGTTAGGGTTCAAAAGGAGCTAAAACAAAAATTCCATTATTTTCTCCATGTTCTAGGGTCTTGTCATCTGGGTTGCCCTTTCTACTGTTCCATGAAGAATGCACGCTGGGTTAGTATTGTTAAATAACTTATCCACGTTCTCCTTTAGTAATTCTTTTCCAGGCGATTTATAACAAGAAATAATATTCGTTGAACCCAGTTTTTTTTTTATTAAAGTGATATGTACACCTGTAGCCTCTAGATTTTTAAATTTTAATAAATTTTTTAAGGAGAGCTTTACATGTTCTCGTAACGAGTATAACTACGACTCCACCTCCCATGTTTTCGCGACCTTGCCAATATATATCATAATTCATTTGATACATAAAACTTGTTGTCGTTTTTCAAATGGGATTTTGATCTTAATAGGAGTATTAGACAACTTCCGGAGCTCCTTTTTTTGATGGCGTATGCCATCAACAGTCCAGGAGAGTATTTTAAGATAATGCTTATCACTTGGGGGTCCACTGCGATTAATAAGTTTAAAAAAAAATTACTAACTGATCTCGATAAATGAGTACTTATCGCTACAGATAAAGAGTTGACTATTTGTTTCACAGTAAGTTCATCGAGACTAGCGTAGCTTTCCGTATATGTACCATGTTCTCCCGAGTTTGAGAATAGAGTGGTTTTCAGTATAATTGTTCCTTCTAAACTGCGCATTTTAGGGTAATGCGAACCACCTCTATAGCTTGCAGTGTGCTCACTTAAACAGTTTACACACTTGGTTTTGTCTTCTATAGGTTTAGGGCAGAAGCTGGAACCGTGGTGTTCTGCACATTTAACCCCTTTATATTAAGTGCAGAATTTATAGGTATCCCCATATAATTGGCATCGAATATATTAACCAAAAAATTCTACCATTTTGTTTCAAAGTTTCCACTGAAACGGAAATATAACTAATTTTTTGACTTCCAATACAGTACTTGCAGTTACTTCTACTAATACGAGGGGCTCAGGGGTTCTGTTTTGATCATATTTTCTCATTCCGATAATTTTAGTGGGATTGAAGCCTTGATTTTTCTAATTCTCTTTAAAACTTCCTCTACATTCACTTCAAGAAATATACCACAAATAAAACCTAAAGTTCTCTATCGGAAGGGAGCCGATAAGTGTAATACTTATTTTTCAGAAGCTAAAAGAGAGGTTAAACGCCTGTAGCCTTGCTCACTAAGCGTATAAATTCTAATTCTATGCTCAGTTCTTCGCTTTTTTTCAGAAATTTTGAAGGGATCATTCTTAAATAAATGAGAAAGTTTGCTCCAGTCGATCCAGTTGCGTCTGGTAGCATGGAATCTCAACTTTATTTGTATTACTAGTATTATTTGAGTTTTTAATACCAGTACCAATAAAAGTAATGCTATTATCACCATAATTATTATTACTATTGTTATCGCTTATAGTATTACTATTACCGGTTTCATTTATATCATTATTATTAGTACGATTATTGCTTATTCCCCTATTATTGCAATTTTATAATTACGGTGGTTATGAGATTTTATGTTAGTTTCTTTACCAATACTACTATTTGGTACAAAAATTTTTTACTAAAAATGTGATTATTTATCTTGTTAGAATTAGCATTATTATTAGTATTGCCTAAGACGATATCCCGCCTTTCGGTATCCTTTAATACATCTACTTTATACGTTTCCGAGCTTTCCAAAGTTTGAAGAGCGGTATATGGGTTAAAATTGGAAGTAGCTATGTAATTATTTACCTCAACAGGTTCTTTTCGTCTTTAAATAAAATTTTCTTTATTTTTTTTCTTTTTCAAACTGCCATACTTTTGTTTTTAAAACCTCCAGCTCCTTAAAAAAAAGTTTACTGATAATATATATTTTAGTTTTACGTATAAATACAAACTATTTATTTTTCGAATATAATAAATATATAAATATTTTTATTATAATATATATATTATTTACAGATCGATAAATATAATATATAAAGTTATTTATTAAATATAATACACTATAAACAAAAATAAAAGAGAAAGTTTTAGTATACACAATTATTAATACAATAAAAAAAAAACATTTTTTGCGGCCAACAAAGTGACATTAAGTTCTTATTGTTCTCTAAAAGTAGAAGTGAGATCCATGGGAGGAAAGAAATAAAAGAGAGAAGAAAAATAAATAGAAAAAAAAAATTAATAAATGAATAAAAAAAGAGTGCCAAAAATAAAACAATATAACGCTAGTAAAAACAATGGCAATAATAATAAAATAGATAAATAATTAAAATAATACAATTAAAGAAAAGTTTTGCTGAGGAAATTGAATGTTTTCTAAAAAAGTTTTAGTCGTCGCCAGTTGAAAAAGTCTAAAAAAAATCAAACCGAATTTTGCTTATATATAATTAATTTTTTTTTATATGTAGTCGCCAAATAGTGGAAATAGTTTTTGTCCGCAAGGAGATCGTTAATTTTGTTTATAATTTTAAAACATTGCGATTAGCAAAAACTTTGGTTCTTTGGATGCTTACCATAAGCGTCGTTTAGTAGTTAAAAAGGATTATTTCAAATAATAGCAGGCACTGACTGTCGGTACACTTCAGAAAACACCGCGTCGCGCCCTGCAGAGGCAATACTTTTTCAAGGCTTTTTTTTAGGGATCGAGCAGGAACATATAGGTTGTTCGAAACGACACTACATTGAGATCTTTAGATAGAGCAGTTATGTGCCGTCCTCTGGCTTGCCGGCGTGTCATACGAACAGTTATCTTGGCCTATAACCGCATTATAGCAACTAAATTACCAGCTATGAAGCGGCTCTCACTACCACTGCCCTTATACTATAGGCTTTTAGTAGTTCTTATCGTTTGAGCATTGAGACTAAAGCTCTACTTCGAAGTGGTTGATTCGATCGAGCACTGGAGAGCAGTCAATCGAAGATTAGGTAGGGCGTCGTAGAAAGGTAGCAAAGCTGCTCAAAAGTGTGGTTTTCCGCTTGCATATTTTTGGATTTGTAATTTACACGGGAACACTTGTGAAGCGAATGTGCTCTATCTTGGATGAAGTTTTTGAAGCTAGAGATTTTCACCTTCTCTTAAAATTACTAAAAGAAAATTGTATCTTATATGATCCTTATATTTTCTTTTTATAATATATATAAACAAATAGCAGAAACTACTTCTTTGATCCAATCGGAGCACATAGAGATATTGTTGGAGAAACTTAGGCTTGAAGTTGAATGTAGGGTTATTACGGACATACTAGCAGTCATAGCTAGAAATGGTTAATCTTTGTCTTTCATTAATTAATACCGTACTGGTGTTTTAAACAAGTTAACCATCCATTAAATAGAATTTAAAAGATGTTTACTTGTGGGGAAAGGCACCATTCAAAGTTTGTTTGAAGTGATTAATAAAGAAACCTTCTGTTCTGAGGTGGCTCTTAATGCTTTACGGACCATTGCTAATGTTTGCTACGAAAACGGTTTATATATGTTATATCCATCATTGTAACTTTAAATTTTATATATAATTATAAGATAAGCATAGGGAGGTCATATTATCTCTTAATGGGTTAGACGTCGTCACTGACTACATAATTTTTGTTAACGAAAAGGCAAACTTGGAATCTCTTTATCACACAGTGGCCTCTGGATTATTATGCAACTTATGCGCCGATAACGGTACGGCACTTTTTTTGTTAAAAATGTTAATATTTAATAAGCAGGACTTACAAGCTCAAAATAAATTATATTATTCAGAAAAAATAGTTAAAGAGTTGCTCCGCAAGTCTTTTTTAAAAGAGCTCCTAAAACTCCCATTTCATCCAAAGGCGGACCACGAGACTTTTTCCAAATGTTTGCACATACTTACATATCACGGTAAGCATAACCACTTGTCTAATTTTAACTTTAGTTAACGTTTTCAGAGTTTATGCTTAGAGAATTTGCTCGGAAAGAAAACTTGGAAAAGATATTGAACTGCTTTGAAGTTGGTAAAGGAAGCAGCCTATACACTGAGTTAAATCATCTGTTGAACTTAATTATCCACAACGAATCATTATTAAATATTATCAACGACGAGTTCGGAATATCTGCACTAATTTCTTTTGGCGAGGACTATGCAGCTTGCGACAAAAGGCGTAGAACATTTATGCTTGCAGCGTCTCTGCTTAGTTTGGGTACTTTTGCCTAATAATCTTAATAAGAGGTTTTAAAGCACTTCGTTGGAATAGATTGCTTTATAAATAGCTCCTATTTAGAAGAGAATAGAAATGTTGTTCAACTTCTGAAAGGTTGGTGCTGGGATGAGGACTCGGAGGTTAGATGTGCTGGGGCTCTTGCCTTGGGTAACTTAGCCCGCTCAGGTGTTTCTTTTAATAGCGCACCCGTTGGCTACATTTTTTCTGCTATCTCAATATTAAGTTGTTTAGACCATAACGCTTATCTCCTCGCGGAAGACGGCGTGATATCTCTGCTTACTTCCATGTTGACTTCGAATTACGTTAAAGAGCAACACTCCATTTTAAGCGCACTGAGAAACCTGGCGATTCCCGGTGACTCTCATATGCAGCTCATTACTATTTAAATAACATTTTGCCCACACACGTGGCAGAAAAGAACAAAAGTGCCGTAGTGAAGGCGGGGACGCTCGAATTAATTGGAAAGTATTTAGCGGACTCGGCGTTTCCTGCTGTCCTGCAATTGTCCATATCAATCATTAAGTCGCTATGTCTCTATGCTCGTAAGCGTTCCTTAGTGCGTGGCGAGGTGTTTAAGACAAAGTTTTACCATGCCAGCCACATGTAAAGAGGTTCTTAAGAAACCGCAAATACTGTCCACACTGGAAAAGTGGGCTAAGCATGACGACGAAGAAATAAAGTCTGAAAGCATACGCATCTTTTCCTTTATCATGCGGACCTCTTTATCGGAAAGCGGTTATTATCAAAGCTTTGTGTCGATTTAATTATTAATTAAAACTGTTCTTTAAGCTTATAATGAGCTAAAAAAGTACGGAGCCGTCGCTTTAGTCATAGAGTTGTTGAATTCTAGATTTGAAGTATTAAAAAACGATGCTCTTCTTGCCTTACAGGCCGTTGCGCGATACGATGGTATTTCTTACGTTACTTTTAAGCAAGCTAAAGTTTCTAATGACAATTTATTTTGCCCAAGATTCAATACTAGTCGATAGCATGAACCTGGATAAATATATTTGGGAAATAGTGAAGGGGACCAAATGCGACGAGATGCGATCAAATGCTTTCAGTCTCGCCTTAGTTATTTTGTCTCAGCGTGGTATGCGCTTCCCCAAGTTCTCTTAATGAGCGCGCAGATATAGTAATACTGTTCATGCGCAGATCCGCGCGCATCGGCTAATGAATATACCGAGTGGAAGTTGTGTGCTGAAAAATATGTTAAGTCGACTCATAAGGGATTGCGCTCCTCGGTCACTGTGCTACTGCAACTTATTTCGTTAAAGGTTTCTAGTTTGACCCAATAAAGTGAAAAAATGAGGAACTGTACCCATATACTAAGCGTGTTCTATCAGCACCCCTTTTCCACTTTTTTAGCAGTAGATGTTTAGGCCCACATAAGGAGCATTAATTTTCAGTGGACAAAGTTTAGTTGGACTAATCTATCAAAAAAGTTTTGGCTTCTAATTTTGCGCTCATATTTTTTCCCCTTCTAGCATGACTTCCCGGGCATGATAGTAATAATTAGCTAGACATTTAGTAAAGGGCATAGCAGCCAATAAAGCATCATTCTAGTGTAACTTATGAGAACCCAACTTCGTATGTATGAAAAACTGACCCTTTAAAGAGCAAGTGCCACAATAGCAATTATCCCACTCCAAATGACTCAAACGTGTGTTTTCAAGCTCTCTCCTCGCCTAAGCGCGCTTTATAATATGAAATAACAAACAGAACAAGAGAAGCTGAGCTTTAATCTATGTGCTTAAAAGAGCTGCATGAAAAGCGTTTAAGGTCAGTCTTTGCTCCAAGAGGCTGCAGGGCCTTCGTTTCTGCTGACGAACTTTGGCCTCTTAGCTCTTTAGGGAAAACTAGCATATGCCAACTTAAATGTTTAAGAGAGCTTCCAATGCTATTTGCGATTTTTATGGCCACTTCTGCAATGCCTCTAAAAGAGGTCCATTCGACAAAGGTAATTATGCTTGAATTGCTTTATTAACTGGCGGTGTGTTCCGTTTAAAAGCACACTCATACCTTCGCGAAGAGTAATTTAAAGCTTTAGAGAGAAACATGGCGCGATAACACGTGTGATGGCGCATACCTAGTGTACCACGTGGTAAGCACGTATTTACCAGAGTTGTTTCCGATGATAACCTGAAATAAGGTGAGAGAAAAAACAATAAGGGAATTTACAACGACTTCGATCAACCACTTCCTTGTTCGAAGATGTACTATTATTAGTTAATAATCAGGTCACTCTTTATAATGGTGGAAAATTTAACAGATTTAAAGTTTTATTGCTTTGGTTCCAATCCAGCTATCCTCGTTAATATAATTTATTTCTTAAAGGAAGCAAATGATGGGTGAAAGAGTCAATTAAAAGGGTAAGAGGGTGAGTAAAAGCTCAAGAGCTTTCTAACTAATATCTTGCTCTCATAAGGTTGGGCATAAATAACTTAGCAATGGAACCAAGCGGAACGCAAAGGTCGTTGTGCAGTGATAAGCCTTAATCTTAATAGTCAACCTTGCGAAAATTAGGTTTTATTAGTTTTTAAGGCGTTTACCACGTTTCCTTATATTCCCTTGGCATTTAATGGTGGTCATCTTAATTGTTTTATGTAATAGTGCCTTTTGTATATACTCCGTAGCTGCAATATGCTTCTTTAAGCCCCTAATTCCAACGTATACATGGCTTTCTGTGACCTCGAATTACTAGGGAAATGCTGGCCTCCTTTAAATATCCTTAATAGAATTGAAAATGGTTGGGGGAAGGTGGGGGTTTGTGCGCAAATTCGTACCAGTTATTCTACATAAACGAGCTTATCGCTGGTTACAAAGTCGTTAAGTTCTTTGTCAGGATATTGAAATTTATTACTTTGCCTACGATATTACGCCTTTTCGAGAAAGGTCTTCATTTAAACCAAAATTTAAATTTACAGAAATAATTTAGGAGCGAGACCCTCCCCACAAGTAACTAGACACAGGCCTTAGAGTGCGGTACTTAACCCTTTGTCCATTGTCTAAGCGGATCAAACAGTTTTAAACAGAAAAGATAAATAATTGGTTATGATGTCCTAGATTAGTTAATACTCCTCTGTTAAGAGACGTCCTTGTCTAGATTGAAAAAATACTTTAATGCATTAGCTACTTTGTATACTGCAGCCCTATATATACCATTAAGTTATTATTTTTTTATGTTACTGAAGTATCTATAGTGTTGTTTACAATATTACAGTTCTACTCCATATTAATTCCCCTATCGCAATTGGTAGGCTTAATTACGTCAGCGTATGTAAGGTGCCCCTTGCTAAACATTAAGAATGCTGTGATTTTCGCCAGTCCATGGTGTTTGGTGATTCTATTTTCATGCGAAGCTTTTTAAAAGTAAGTGTGAGTGACCTCTCTTACATTTAGGTGTTGTTTCGTTTACCCTACTTTTCACTTTAGATTTCAGCTGTAAACAATACAGGTGGTAGAAACACTAGATTAGTAAGGGTCGTTTCTTACAACATTCTCGCTCAGTGTTATGTAAGAAGCTCCCTTTTTCCCAAAAGCGAAAAAAAGGTTTTAAGAAATAAATTTCGAATTTTAAATTTGGTTAAAGAACTTGAAAGCTACGAAGCCGACCTTTTCGGGCTTCAGGTCTGTTTACGGTAAGTCGACTTTTTGCGTGTAACTTTATCTTACCCGTATTTGCTTAGGAAGTTGATGATTACCCATATCTACAAAGTTTTTTGAAAATAGAAATTTTAAAACTAGCTTTAAGCTAAGAACTCAAGTTACGAAAAAAAAACTTGACGGAAGGTTTAAAACAAAATGTTAAACCTGTGAATCTTAAGTTAGAGTTTGAAGTTTAATAGCATGGAACGCTCACAAGTTTGAATGCTTTCAAGAAGCACATATAGAATTTAATGACCTTCTCTTAGAAGATATATATACGAATTTTTTACACAAATCAATTAAAAAAGAAACTATTTTAAAAGATTGCGTAGCCGCAGTTGCAGTAAGCACAAATTGTTTGTTCTTGATCGTCTGTTTTTATAAAGTATTGTATACCCAGGTTATAAATAGTTTAGCTATTCCAGAAATGAAGTTTGTGTTTTCTTCAGCTCATTTATACTGGGATCCTTTATTTAGCGAAATTAAACTTTTGCAGGTACGACATTTTTACTGGACGTGTCTATATTTATAATTTTAATTGGAGCAACAGGCTTGGTACCTATTTAAAAATCTTCTACAACTTAGCCGAGAACATGGTGGTATACCGATAATAGTTTGCATTGACGCGAACTCCAAGTTTAATAGCGACGTAGTCAATTTCCTGACTAAAGGTTGCTTCGAACCTCACGATGTTTTTCTTAAAAGCCTACCCACGGCGGAGCTTTCTTATCTCTTTGAAAAGATCACTCTTCCCTCCGTTTTTAATTCAGTATATCCTTTTGGAGCTTCTACTTTTACAGGCTCAGAAAGCGATACATTTACCACGTTTACTCCCGCTTTTACAGACACTATAGATTATATATTCACGACTACGGATGTGAAGACAACGCAGATTTTACAACTCCCAACGGTAGAAGACTTCACCCAGAACGGTATTCAGGGTTTACCGAATGAAGTCTTTCCTTCAGATCATTTAGCTTTAGTAGCTGATTTATTAGTGCCAGTGCTAAATAAAAAAAACTAGTCAACGCCTTTGCTATTTCGAGAGTAAAACAGTTTTTTTACAGCTTTACTAATATATAATTAGACAAGTAAAGACCGTGCTGTCTAAGTACACAGACAAAGTTGGATAGATTACCGCAAGTAAAGGTACACCCACAATGTTTTGAATGTTTATTGTTCCTAAAAAATAAAAAAGGGGGCCTTTGAGTTAAAAATTAACTTAAAAAGATAATTCTTCTTTTTCTCTGAAGGCGAATATTAAAGCATCCACTCTTCAGTTTGCAGATTTTTTTATAAAATTGTTGATACTAGTAATATAATCTTTTTCACTTTTTAAAATTTATCATAGCATCGTACAACCAGAATCGTTAAAAAATACATCTAAGTGGTGTGCTATACGAACAAACGCGTTTTCCACCAGAAAAAACCAATAGTTGTACCTTCCCGCAAACAGCGCACTTGGGAAGCTTGATTAAAAATAGTGCCAGTCATGATTAAACTAACACGCCTTAAACAAAAAATGAGGGTTTTAGCATTACTAATATTTAGTACGCTTGTCTTCAGCATCGCCTTTAATTTTTTATGACCCATTATCTGTATAAACTATTATTTGATAGCATCTTGTGGAGCAATGGTTCGGCAAAGCTATACTTACGCCAATATGTTAAGCTTCACAAGATTTATTAATTTTAGTTTGGTTGAGATGGGGTGAAGTCGGGCAAGGATGCAGTTAGAAAATATTACATAATCGGGTTGTTCTGAATACGTAACCCACTCATGTACCTTGACAAAAAAAAGAGGAGGAAGAGCAATTTACTGTCTCTAGAGGAAAATTATATTAACAAAATTAAAAACAACAAAACTAAAAAAAAATTCCTATCAATTTTGGAAATTGAAGCTGACAATCACTATTTCGGTCAATGAATTACGTACACGACATGTTATACCCTTAAGTTTTTAAGGTGTTACGGCCTTTAGCTGTAGAGCGAGTATGTTTATAACATGTTCAACTTTTGTTTATAGAGAAGTCGGACACGCAGCCATCAAACGAGTAAAACGAATCCGCGGCCTTGAGGTTGCGTGATGATACCCTAACCATTGAACTGCGGTCACACCCCTCATTATTTCGTCGCAGACAATCGCGTAGTCCTGCTGTTTTCAATTTAACATTTCACCCCGCCTTCCTTAAGTCCTTACTTT